CAGGGGCTGCTGTCAATAACCGTGTAAATTCATTGTTCCTTCAGCGAGTGGTGATGCACGTAGGGCATTCACGTGGCGAAGCCGCTTGGCATCGTCTGTGAAACAAGGGGTGAGCGGAGAGGGCACCATGAGAAGTGTCAGCCCCGGCCAAGGAGGCTCTGAGGAATGTCTGTCCCATGGCAGGGGGGCTCTGCTAGTGGGGTTGGTGTCTTCAAGCTGAATTTTCTGTCTTCACGCTGAATTTTCTCACCTTTTGCAAAGTAACTGATGCCGCCTGATAATTTCCAAAACAGAATTTGCCTAATTAAAAAAAGAACTTTGGGTTTCAGGCATTGCGTCGGATTACATCACCTAAATAAATATGCATGAGGAGGGCGGAGAATATGTAGTATGTGGGCGGGTTCATGTAAATTTTACTATATAATAGATAGAACGTTTTACCCCTTGGTGTGTTTGATTTGTGGAAACTTCTGCCTGTGCAGATTAAACAATGTCTCCTTTCTAAACTAGACTCTGTGTTTAGAGAGCTCCTAAAATGGGCAACAGGACAACCGTGCCTTTGGAGGGAAAGGTTGGTGCCAGCAGCTGTGGTGTTTTGACCCCATGTCCATGTTGGAACACTTGTGTTTTCAGGCTTTCACACTTCAGCTACCATGGCTCGAACATCACACAGCACCCAGGGTTGGCTGCGCTTCTGTGCATCAAAATCCTTCTCCAAATGTAAGCAGGCTGGCTGGCACTTGCTTCTCACAGCTCCATCCGTGAAGGGTTTACATCCCTGAAGTTTGGGAACCCAAGACTTGAGCACAGCCTAAGTTACTCCTGCTCATCAGCTTCCTGGCCTGCACTGTAGTGGTTTATGCCTGGTCCCTGCCCAGGGAATGCTGATAAGACAAAAGCTATTGTGGCAGGCAGTGACCAGCCCAGTGATCACATTTGGGTTCCAGCCTTCCTGAAGGCTTTAAGGCATCATGATCTCCACACTTTGTCCCTGAGGATGTTCTCCATGGCTCCCAGGAAGTTCTGAGTCTGGAGGAGGCCAGGAAAGCTCTGCTGTGAAGAAAGGCTGAGGGAATTGGGATGGTTCAACCTGGGGATGACCTAATTGTGGCCTTCCAGTACCTGAAGGGAGGCTGCAACAAAGATGGAGAGAGAATATTTACATTGGCCTGGAGTGATAGGACAAAGGGGAGTGGCTTCAAACTGATGGACAGTAGGTTTAGATTAAACATTAGGAAGAAATGCTTCCCTCTGAGGGTGGTGAGGCCCGGGCACAGGTTACCTATATAAGCTGCGGCTTTTCCATCCCTGGAAGTGTTCAAGGCCAGGTTGGACAAGGCTTGGAGAAACCTGGGGTAGCGGAAGGTGTCCCTGCCATGGCAGGGGTGAAACTGGACGGGCTCTGAGATCCCTTTGAAGCCAAATCATTCCAGGACTCTGTGACCATCAGAGAGGCGGGCGCAGGAAGATCCCTCGGGTGCGGGCAGGCAGGACGGGAGGGAGTCTCTG